TAACCTATCACTGAACGAGATTTCCCTAGGGAATTTTACTTTCAACATTACCTGGGGGGGGAAAAAAAATCTTACCTGAAATTCTTCACAGCAACATCATTGGCTACCAAAATCAATCTAGAGCCCAGAGTGTCTGCCCCTCCCACCTTCCTCAAGCCCAAAGTGATATATGTCAGAAAGATTTAAATTTAAGAAAGAGTCTTTAGGCTGGAGTTCTATAGCCTAGGAAGCACAGAGGGACATGGGGACAATGTGATAAGCAGCTTTCCAGTTTTTGTACAAGACCTTCCCTGTGTTTTTCATTTGAAATACTTCACCCTCTGAGAAAATATAGTGTATTCATGCATCAACTCATATCCAAGGCAAGTATTTGTCGTGGATTAATAGCTATTAATTCTCTACTGTATCCACTGAACAATGTTATATACTAAATTGAAGGTATTGCGATGAGTATGTGGGAACCACTTCTACTATGTAACACTAGTGAAATAATTACCAATGTAATATTTAGAGTTCCAATTCAGGTATTTTAAAGCTTTCAAAGGGAACATTTTATAGGACAGAGTCAACAAGCTTTCTGGGGTACCAAATCAAATACCTCATAGATCCCTCTAGCTTATAATTTAAAATAACCAAACATTATAGTGAAGTTCACAGTAAGAAAAAAATATTAAAACATAAAAGTTATATTAAAAATTAAATATTACCATTAAAGAAACTACTTTCTAGAATTTTCTTCAGATTTTCTTTGAATGTTATTCACACTAGATTGGTGCTCTAATGTTCTAATTTAAATGTTAAAAATTACTAACTATAAAAAAAATTAAAATTCTGGGCAGAGAAATCCAAGCTAAGTGAAATCACCACAAATCAAATATCAATTTTAAATTACTGAATGTGATCATAAAACTATTCTTCTAGGCAGTTCTAAGGATCATAACTATTGCATAAAAGCAAACACACCCGTTTATGTAATAATTCACAAACCAATTCTGTACACATAATTTCTTGAAGTGTCCAAATTTGGGAACATCAACTCAAATGCTTATTGAGTTCACGCAGGGATGTGTAGAAACCAAGTCTGAAGGCCATCACACCACTGTCTAGCAATTCAGCCTAGAAGGCCACCAATTTGTGACTTCTGCTTTAGATCTTTAGTAACCAAAATCATCAGTAAATAGGAAGCAATCTTAGAAATACCCAATTCCTATTTATAAATTTCACCATCATCTATAGCAGTGTGACAAAACTAGGGAGAATTTGCATATTAACAATTAATGAATCAATGTATCTGACAAGAGAAAAGGCTTTCATTTTCCACAAAAGGAAAGAGTCCAAGTTAGCATAATTTTTCCTTGAAAAGATATTTTGGATATACTGGTAACACAGTAGAGATATGTAACACAAACAAACATTTTTTTTGTGTATTTTTTTTATTGTCTGCAACACCAAAGTAACCCAAATTTCACATTTACAATGAACTTTTTAATAAAAATATGCTATACATATTAGAGATACATGTTATACAAGTTTTTGAAAATTAAACACATACACTTAATACAGTAAAGAGAATAAACTGAATTGCTATTATCATTAATATTCCTTCTCTCCTAAATGATCAACAACTGTTACCAACAGCTTTTATGAAACCACCACTGTCCTAACTAGCTATTTTGGAGTGTGAGGTACGAAGAATGGACTTCTTCAAAATCAAGTGATAATGAATTATTACTGTGCATCATACAGCTTCATATTTTCAGCTTACCAGTTACTAAAATAATCAGAATTTCTACAAGATGGAGGTTTAGTTCTCTACAAATTTGGTAATGTGGGCTACCTCAGCCCAACTCCAGAAATAAGTAGTTAACACTTCCAAACTAATGCCCACACTTACATCTGATCATTCAGAAAATTCTTTAAGCCAATCCTTGCAGCACTGCATTGCCTCCTCTCCATAATAATCAGGTCTTAACTACTGAATTCTGGGAGATGTGATGAACAGTTGTTTGGCCCCTGCCACTTTAAATTGTTATTGCCATGTTTCAGAAAGTAAGATCCAAGAACTGAGTTAAGGTCCCAAGAATAGGTTCACCTTCCCTTGTAAGAAAACTACCTGAGTATCATTAATGAGAAGAATATAAATATCATATTATGCTGTTTCAATGAAATACCACTATGAACTAACTTATTTCCTCAGTAGGCCAAGTGATGGAACTTGAAAATGTGTGAACTTATGACCTGGTCTAATCCACCATGAAAATATCTGAGGCAACTATGTCAAGATACATTTTTTTCCCTAAAAAGCTTGCTTCCTTTGCCAACAAATAGAACAGTTTACAAATCACAGCTAAAGTAATATAATTTTAGAATTACAAAGTATAGATCTTGTCTAGGTATTCTAAATCTCCCAGGGCACTCCTTACCTGTAATAAGCACCCACCATTCACAGATGGCCTACCCTGTGGCAGGCCCCACATGTCAGTCATTTTATATACATTAGCCCATTGAATCACCACAACACCTGGTGTGTCATTTTTATTCTTTTTTTTTTTTAAACAGATGAAGAAACTGGAGTTTCATATCACCTTCTAGGCTTTAAGTTTCCTGGTACAGCATAGAATTTCTTTTTATTATCATAAGAGAAACATTAGAGCACCAAGAAGAAAGTTGAAAGCATCTTAGTTCTAATATTCTATTACTTGGTCAACATCAACAATATCCCAACCTAATTAGCAATCCTTCAGTGCTGCAGTATTACATGTGATTATTGCATTTCTTTATCAGAATGATGGAACTATGATTCCTCTTTTGGGTAAATTCTCCTTTATTTGCATCACATTAAAAAGTCTTTTTCTAAAGGTCAAAATTTATGGGATATTCTTTTCAAGATTTCTAATTGAAGGAATATGAAAGGCTTTCTTTCTTGTGACTGGAACTAAACTACTGCATCTTAGTTAAAAGTACTTATTTTGACAAAACAGTTTTCATTTTTACGTTATGTCACATTTTGATCTTTCCACATTTGGAACAGCCTTCAATTTCTAAATTTTGTTTTGCAAGTTACAATGATCATCATCAGAGATAAAGTATAAACAGCCCTGCATTGAAAACCATCCATCTATCCACATCCTCAAGTAACAAATGTCCCTCTCTCATGGAGTTTCTATTCTAGTATGTATTTGGGAGGGAGAAGGAGGGGAAGACATACAAAGAGGCATGTCAGGCAATGATAAATGCTAAGAAATGTAATTATTTTTCTAGCAGCGCTTAACTTACTAAGTTTGTTTTTTTTTTAAGCTCACCAACTTTTGATCTGTGCTTTGTTTCACATGTCGGATGCAGAGTTTAAATTATGCACCTCTGTGGTGATAAGAAATAAAGGGTGGAGTCTTCAGGACCTAAATGTTAAATCAGTGGCAGGCTACTTAGTCTTCAAGGCTGTTTGAAAGTAGTGGTTATTAAACTCTTGGGGATGAAGAAAGCTTTCATTCAGTGGATTTACTAACACCAAAAAAAAAAAGCACAAATGCATGCCACTTTATAAATAGGTCTCAGGCGGCCTAATATCCATGGATTGCTAGTAGACTAGGAAATTTCATTACAAAGAGAATTCACAATCAGGGGTGTCAGTGTGTGGCGGAAGAAAGGGGTGGATCAGAAAATACTATCCAACTCAGATTCTGTGATTCTTATGCAACGATCTTACTACAAATATGAAAAACAAAATGCATAACAAAACTGAGATTCAAAGATTTTAAAGTTTCCTGGCTCCTAGAACAATGTTCCTTCTACTACATGATTTTCATTATGATGTAGACGTCTTAAGCAACTTCCTCATTAAACAAGCTACTTCCCACCGTTATGAGGACTACTGCTACATTACTGGTGACAATTTTAATCCCAAATGCTCTTTTACCATTACCCAGTCTGTGTACTAAAGGAAATAAAAATCAAGTTTATTATCAGACTAAGCTCAGTCTTAGAGAGGGCAGAAGACAGAATGCTATTTGAAAACAAATTGATTTTTATTATAAATGTAGTATATGCACAAAGTAAAAGTTTCCAACAGCACTGAAAGGTGTAGGTGAAAAGTAAAAGTCCTGTATCACAAACTAATGTTCCACAGTCCTACATTTCAGAGGCAACTAATGTGCTCTCTCCTTAAAAAAAAATCTAAGATTATGAAAGCACATATGTGCACATACATGTACCTCTGAAGAATACAATCGGCTTCCAGGACTACAATGTTATAATACTAAGGATGAATTAACTACCCATTAGGAGAATCAAGTGTTAATTATACTTGGCAAAACCACTTCAAAATACAACAATTTATTAATTTAAAAGATGGTCACCATAACAAGTATATGAAATAATCATTTATAATTCAAGTAAGCCTCTTAAAGATGTAAACAATCTAAATCTTACTTCCCTTGATCGCAGTAGTAAAATTGTGGGTTAAGAGTACAATAGATAAACTAGCAGGAGAAAACTGAGGGGTGAGAAAGAATTGCCCCAGGCTGTGCAACTGTCACTCAGACAATAAAGCCATTTTATTACAATGTATCAAAGGTAATTTCTTTGCTAGCCAACAGAGAAGGTTATCACAGCCCAGGGTTTTATAGAAATTGGTCCAGACAGGAAAAAATTCTAGGCTGTCAAAGAAAAGCTATCTCTTATAAAGCTGGATGTCTGGGGTTGTATCAATCATGGACTTTGTACCAATTCCCCCTCACCTATACCAAATTAAGATGTACAAATCCACACTTTTATTCAGGACAACAAACATGATTTCATCTTTGAGGTTGTCTCTTGGGCTACTCCTTGGTAAAGACCAAGTGCACATATTTAAGAGAAAGATCTTCCTCAAAGAAAAATATCAGTCTCAGAGAACATTTTACCAAAATTAGCATTGTTTAAAAACAAAACAAAACAAAACAAACACCTAACTTGGATGGGGGGGGGAGGGGAAAAAACTAATGATAAAAAAATTAACTTACCAAGAAGTGAAACAGGCTGGGTTACAGGAGGGGTGGGCAGATTCGTGGGTGCAGCAGGTGGCACGGCAGAGCCATACATTTTCACACTGTCACCAGACTCGGCGTTTCCTCTAGCCCCAGACACCACTGTTGGAATGGGATTTCCAATAGATAAGTCTTTTGTAGTGTCTTCATTTATACCAGCGATAGTAGCTAAGGAATATAATTACATCAACATGTGAAGCTGAATAATTATCTCCCCAGTCAACATTTTTTTGCCATACTATAGACCCTATTACTGGTCCATTCTCCCTCCTACTCCCAACTCCAAGAGGACGAGTGAACACAAAGGAAAAACATGCTTACAGTTTGGGATGCTTATTGGTGGAGTGTGAGGAGGAGGAATGGATACTGGTGGAGTTATAGGAGGTGGGGGTCCAGGAGGAAGAAAACCTAGAATAAGAAAAATAATGTCAACTTATGTTCTGTCACCTTATTTTGGTCTCTAAAAAGAATGTCTTCTTTAACAACTTAGTGTACCTGGTGGTAAATGCATCGGATTAAATCCTGGGCGCAAAAATGGTGGAGGCGGCGGCGGAGGAGGAACACCAGGACCAAAACCCGGAGGGGGAATGCCCAAGGGAGGTGTGAACGTGGGTGGCTGGAGAGCACCAACTACAGGAGGACCAGGCTGATGTGGTGGGACCTAAAAACAAAGAATAATGAAGCCACATATCTAGCCATCTTCCCATCCATATGGTAAGTAGAGATGAAAAGATCTTGTTGAAAAAGCTATTTCTAAACTTGTGCTTACTGTATGAATCAATTTATCTTTTAACAGATAGTAATTAGTACCTACTATAAATGACAGAATTCAAATTTTTGTTCGCTTCTCTATGATAGCAAATTCACATTTTATCTCATGAGTATGGACAGGTAAGCATGAGAAATACAACTCTAAGAAAAGCCACCTGGCAATTTACAGTGATTAAGATCCCAGGTTCTGGTGTCAAACTGCCTATCTCCTCTCCCCTTTTAACTAGCTTTGTGACCCTGAGTAAGGTGTTTACAATCTCTAGACCTCAGTTTACTCATCTGTAAGATGGAAAAGTGCCAACCTCACATAGTTATGGGGATTAAAGAGGTAATACATGTTAAGTGCTAGTGCCTGTCACTCAATAAACACCAAACAAATGTCAGCTACTATTTAAAAAAAAAAAAAAGTATGATCAATTTGAATGGATTAGTCAGGTTTCTTTAAATGAGTGGGGATATACACTGAATCCTGTTTAGAACCTGTGCTGAATGGGCATGTCCAAAAGATTTGCAAAAGAGTTTGCCAATTTAGGAAATCCATTTATAAAATAATCACAGCTAAGTATGTATCAAAGCATGTAATTTTCTCCTTGGAGGGAAAATCAAAAGGCTAGGTAACTCACTTTTTGTGATAGTTCAGATTTATCTGATTCAGATTTAATGTGAGAAATTGAAAAAGGTACAGGAAACATGCTGAGTATTTAACATATATTATGTCATTTAATCCTCAAAACAACTCTGACCTAGGAAGAACACCAGAGCCAAAGCCAAGAAAGGGAATTCCGACTTGCCCAAAGTCACATTGTGGAGAATAAACAATGGAGCTGGGATTCAAACTATGTTCTGTTAGAATTCCGGATTCTCTCCTCTGAAGGAATGCACTGACTGACCAGACAGCAGACGTTTTTAAGAATACACCCTCATGTTAAGTGGCACTCAATTTATTAAATAGCTCATCCATTAAAAAAATTCAGGATAGCACCACACAAATTGAGAATTAAGAAACTCTCCCTCAAATCAGCTGCTTGTTGGAATATATACTTTAAGTCCCCTCAGAACATAAAGTCCCCAAAGAATAAAGATCCAATAAAAGAAAACAAGAGGAAGCCAAATATAAAATGCTATTAGGTTTGCATCTCAAGTCTGAAACATTATAAAGACACTGAATAATCTAGACAGATACGTGAGTTTATTTTGATTTTGTCGATGTTTATGAAAAATGTGTTAAGGGTTTATAAAAAGTAGGTCCGACATACCAAAATATGAATATGCGCATTTATGTATTCGTGTCTTTGAACATTAATCTAGACACACATCTAAATAAATAAGATTTAGAAAGGCTTATCTTTCAGACACAAGTTTAAATAGTGCCCCAAATGTTCTTACCTGTGGAGGTGGCACTGTTATGGGTGCAGGGACGGGCACAGGAGGGACAGGCACTGGCAAAGGCTTAGGTAGGGGTGACACTGGTTCTGTGTGTGAGGTTTCCGCCCCTCCATTTTGAGCAACTTCATTTTCATGCTTCTTGGGGATTCCTTTCCAATCTATGAGAGTTAAAGAAATTTAACAATACAAGTTTAACATTTTCAGTTTATAACTTTAAATCTAGAAATTATTTTTGAAATGCTGATTATATAAAAAACTCAGCAGTATGATTATTAAAGAAATGCCTATGCTAATCTTATAAATATTAAGTGAATGGACCACAGTAACAAACATGCAAAAGAATGCCTACAGTTCTATGTATTAATTCAGTGAATTCTCATAACCATCTGTAAGTAGGTCCCATTATTATTCCCATTTTATAAATGAGGAAAACAATTTGGAAATTAAGGAAAACAAGGTCACACACACCAATAAGTGGCAGAGGCAGGATTCAACACACATCTGGCTCTAGGTCTATGTTCTTAACCAGAACAGTGTACTGTCTGGAATAAAGATCCCAGGAGGGAAGAGCAAGATTCTTTTTACTCTGACAGAATGCCTGGCACACAGTTGAGCCCTGATACCTATGTGCCTGCACAGACACCTAGGTGAAGCCATCACGCACCAAGGGTAAAGAGGTCAAGGTATGGGAATGGCCCAGCATTGTTTCACCTTTTTGGCTCTCAAACCAACTCTGCTTGCTTGAAACTCCTTTAATCACTTACTATTTTGCCATACTACCCTGCACTCCTCCTTATCCAGCTATCTATCAATCTCCAGATCATGCCCACACCTGCTATTTTCCCCACTGTAACCCTACTGTCAATCTGGCCTTTTTAATATTCATGGCACAGGTAACGCACCTCATCTACATGTTTACTTCCGACTGCTTCTCTGGACTAGTAAATGCTTTCAAAGACATTATGAAGCACTGGATTAAAACACAATACCTAGTAATGTTCAGTTTAAGATTCATTTGATCTATTAGGTTTTCACAGTGAAAAATTCTACTGTAATTAATGATTAACCCCACAATTAGCAGTATTTCATTTATGTCTGAATCTGTCCCACTAAACAGAAGTTGCCTCAAGGGCAAAGACCACATCTGTCTTATCTACCATTTTTCCTCAGTTTATAATGGAGAGAGATTGGCACATGGTGGGTACTTGAAAAATTTCAAAATCCACTTCCTACTATGAAGAAACATTTTTCCTATGTACAATCAAGAAAATAGATGAATTTTAAAAGAAATTAAATACTGCTTTACCTGGATTAAGTGTATCACCGTCCAACATTCCTCCTTCACAAAAACTCTCCAGTTCTTCAGGCTTGACTTTGTCCCATGGAATATAAGTAACACCCAGTTCTACATCCCAATACTGCTTATAATCTGCCTTTATTCCTTTGTTTAAAGCCCAGGCAATCTGTATCACCATTAGTCAAAATATAAAAAGAAAGGAAGGGAGAAGAATATCAGTTTTGAGAGTTAACTTTTTTGAATTTCTAATCACCCAGACTCGGAGGCAAGAGGGGAACAATCTGGGTTTGCTTTCCCCGGATTTCACTTTGATGCCAGGAAATTGGTTAACCTTTTCTCCCACTTTGTACAAATTTAACTGGCATTACCTCCTTATTCACTCTTCCAATCACTCACTTCTCAATTTAGCCAACATAAAACTTAGAGAAAAGGAAAATAATGTTTATCAGGGAAAGGCTGAATGAAGTTCCCTGTACAGTCCAACATACTGGGGACCACTTTCCAAAGTCTTGAGTACCTTGGAATTATTCAACATTAGACAAAATCCTTTTGCAATGCAATCTAAGGGTAGACTAGAGTGTTATGACATTGAGGAAATGCTGACTCTGGCCCCTTATGGAAAGAATACCCATGTACCTACTACACCCTTTTCTCTACCTCTGTTGAGTATTTTTAATAGTTTATTCTAAGAATGAGATGGCGAACTTTAAAAATGTGTAAAATCCAGGGGCACCTGGCTGGCTCATTTGGAAAGACTCTTGATCTCAGGGTCATGAGTTCAAGCCCCATGTTGGGTGTAGAGATTACTTAAATAAATAAAACTTTTTTTTTTAAAGATTTTATTTATTTGTCAGATGGAGAGAGCGAGAGAGAGCACAAGCAGGGGGAACGGCAGGCAGAGGGAGAAGCAGGTTCCCCGCTGAGCAAGGGGCCCAATTCAGGACTCGATTCCAGGGCCTGAGCCAAAGGCAGACGCTTAACCAACTGAGCCACACAGGCACCCAAAATAAATAGAACTTAAAAAAATTTTTTTAATGTATAAAATCCAAAAAATCTTGAATGACAAAATCTTTTACTAAACATATTTAAAGAACCAATTAAAAATACCTTGACAAACCTATCTACATTTTTTGTTAAAAAATGAAATTCTACATGAATTCAACATTTAAAATTTTATGTTAACATTTAGGAGATAACCTCTTGAAGACATACACGAAATGCCTCAGTGTCCAAAATTAGTTTTTAAAAAGCCAAGCAGTATTATGTGTTAAATTTTTAAAAAATGAATTACAAGGTATAAAACTGTACCTTTATGGATTTCTGGTTCACTTTATAGTTTCCTCGGCTCAGTTTCTGCAAGGCACGATAAGCATCTTGCCTATGAACCATAACAATATAGGCACAACCTCTGGGAGGAATCATCTGCTCCAAAACATTTTAATAAAATATAATAAAATCAAAGAGCAATAAAATAAAATAAACACTAAATAACCAATTCCAACAACCCCAACTCCCCTGCCCCCTACCCATCCCACCAAGCCAGGGTCTATAATCTGAGATTAAGGTATCATAAACTGGCAATTCAAATTTGGTCTCAACTACCAGTTTTTAATAAACTTACAGTTCTCCAAGCTTTGTTAATATAGACTTTTCCAGAAAAGGGTTTCAAATTAAACTTGGTTATCTAAGAAATGTGGTTAAATGCAGAGTGCTAAACACGGACTCCACACCTACACTAGCCATATCCTCTACAAAGCTGGGCAAATTTTAACTTGGGTCTCAAGTCCATAATTTCATAAAGTGACATTAATCAGTGTCCACTATAATTACATAATTTAATAAAAACTCACATTAATTGACTCAATTGGACCAAACTCTTCTAATAGACTGGCCACATCCTGTTGAGTAGTCCTTTTGTCCAGCTGTCCCACCCAGAGGGTAGTACTACAAACTTAAAATAAAATTATAATCATAAAAATATACACATTTTGATAATGAGCAGCACTGTACTTTTCTACAACAAAAAAATCATTATAGGAAGAAAGCACAAGTCACACAACACAGTAAGATTAAGCAGTAAATCCCATATACATCTAAAAACATTCTAGAGAATGCTGGTAGGACTTCCAGAAATGGAATGGGATAGTGAACAACACAAGACTTCAAAAAATCTGGCCCTTTTGTGGACAGATCTAAACTGGGCCAGAGAAGCAATAACCTGTCCAGGGCCACCCTTGGCAAGTGAGCAAAAGACCCGATCCCAACTCTCTTGATAAGCAACCAGCCCAGCGTTTTTGTCCACTAGTACAGCTGTCCCTTTCTGACTGTGAGTGGACACGGATAGTTTTCTCTTATGTTGTATCCTACGTAATAAGCCTCCCAGAAGCAGAAGCTCTACATATGCCCTACTTGTATTATAAATTAAAATGTCAACAGTAACTACAAACTTATAGCATGAATGTGTCTAGCATACCTTATTAAACATATTCTGAATGCATGATGAGATTCAGGAGACAATGTAAGCTAATATATTCTGTAAACTGTAAATACTTAAAAAAGAGTTAATCTGGGGCGAAAAAAACCCTTCCATATACAGGAGAGCTAGTTGATTGCTTTCCATTTCATACATTAAATTCAAGACATGCTATCACTTTATTCCTCATCACTATTAGTTGGGTTCAGTCCTTATTGCTGTTTTATAGCTAGTTGAACATATCAAAGCAAACTCAAGGGTATACGCCAAAGCACAAACAAGAGACAGTAAAGCAGTATTTTGCTAACAGTTATAAAACATTTTGTTATACTCAGGATACGAAAAAAATAATGCAAGAAGTTTGAATGTAAAGGTTAATTTACCACTCGCAGTTTCTGGTTTGATTTGAGGAAGGCCTTTTTGTCGGCGTTCTCTTTCTTTTTCTCGATCTCGCCTTTCTTGGGACCGAGATCTAGGAGAATGTCGGCGTCTATCTCTGGACCGTGATCGAGAACGTCGATGACGGGACCTTCGAGATCTAGAGCCAGATCGAGATCGCCTTCTTTTTGGTGACCTAACATTTTCATGAGGGGGAGAATGGATAGAACATAGAGAAAAAACTGAAAATGGAGGCAGGTATTAATCCCAAAAAGAAAAAATAGAACTAGGTAGTTTAATGTTTGAATACATAATAATAACTGAAGAGCAGGGAATTCATTTTTAAAAATTTTAATATGTTGCAAGTTAAAAAGCATGCACATATTTTAAATGAGATAAGTAAGGTTGCTAGCTTATAAAAATGTCTCTCATCTTTGATAACTCAGTATTATAAATCATGTACTTAGTATAAGAAGCTGTCATCATTGAGATAGACTGGCCACTACTGGTATCTACCAGTTAACTTCTTTTCTGCAGCAATTAAAAATGTTATCTGATTATAGTATTGTTTATTACCTTTCCACTTTTGTTTCCCAATAAACTTGTAAAAGAACTGTGAATACATAACTGCTATCATTCTAGGCACATATGCCTGCAGGCATTGGAACAACTAAGGAGGAAAGCATGGGTAAGATGACTGACCTCAGTTTTTTAAATTACTACTTCCGTTCCCACTCTACACATACAGACATACAAACACACCAAATATTATTTTATTAACACTGCATATCTAAAAATAGTCCAGTTTGATTTTAATCTGTCTCCTAAGACATACAGGATTGGAAAAACATTTTCTGTCAATTACCTGGATGCTGACCTAGATCTTGACTTTCTGTTATCAGACATGTGCCGTTTAACCTCTTGAATACAAGGTTGTTCTACTTCCATTTCCTTTAAAATCAATAAAAAACAACAACAAAAAATAACCACCCATCATTAAATGAGAGAACTGGAAATTATAGAGGCAAGATGACAAAAACTAAAAAAATGCTAAATTACAAATCTCTTACCTTGGCAGTTTTACTCTGGTTACTTGACACCAAGTTACTAGTTTAATAATGACTGTCCATCGGTGAGAAAAAAATTTTTTTATATGGTTTACAAGATTAGAAGAAACACTTCTCTAGTTCTGGAACTTCATATAAGTTACATACAATTTTACTAAACCATTGACTACAGTGGTAAACTAGGCATTGGTTAAGCATTCTGTACTCTATCTTAATCCTCACAGAATCCTACGGAAATTGGTGTTATTACTATGTCCACTTTCCAGATGAAACGCTTTAGGCACAGAAATGGTGAATATGTGCCCAATGAACAGTCTATCTTCACATTCAAAAATGAAGATAACAAGCAAACAGGCAGGAATCTGCACATAAGTCAAAGCAACCAAAAAGATAACCAATCTGAGAATAAAGTTTTACCTGATGTGCCTTCTGTGTAAGTGGTTCATTTTGTGCCTGAAAAGAAGCTTGGAAAGGCTGCTGCACGGGTGGAGTTGGAGGAATCACAGACTGAGCCATGGGAGGAAATGGAGGTGTAGGAAGAAGGCCAAATCCTGGCATCTGTCCATTCGGAGGAAGTGGAACCTTTTGTTTTTAAAGAAAGCATGTGAGTAGATTTTAAGTAACTTTTAAGTAACAACTACCAAAAATAATTCAGAAAGCCCTTAGTTACCTGATATAAAACTAAAATATCTTCAAGAAATTAACAATGATTAACAATTTCCACAGGTATTTTATCTGAAGAATTTTACATATCCAAGTATATAGGTTAAAAATTCTAGAACTCATTTTTAAAATTATGAATGCACAGGCTTGACTTAATATATTTAATTTCATTTATATGAGGAACAATGTGACAGAACAAACTTAGAAGTCAGAGAGGTACTGTACTGCAAACTGCCTCCCTTCAACTTCAAAGGCAATTATAGCATTGACGTACAGGTTCACTTTTTAAAAATTTACTGCAAGGGGAATTTCAACTGACATCCTTACTTTTAGGGTTTAAAATACCATAATAATAATGAGAGTAAACCACAATGTAACATATTTCTGTATGTGCCATTCCAATACCAACAAATATTAAAGTATAAGAGCCTGGGTGGCTCAGTTGGTTAAATATCTGCCTGTGGCTCAGAACAAGCCCCACCCACATCAGGCTTCCTGCTCAGCGGGGAGCCTGCTTCTCCTTCTCCTCCATTTGTGTGCTCTCAAATAAATAAAATCTTAAAAAAAAAAAGTGTAATTATAACATCACAAAGAAGTACTCCTTCTAATTTATTTTTTTTTAAAGATTTTTTTTTATTTATTTGAGAGAGAGAGAGCATGAGAGGGAAGAGGGTCAGAGGGAGAAGCAGACTCCCCGCTGAGCAGGGAGCCCGAAGCGGTACTTGATCCCGGGACTCCAGGATCATGACCTGAGCTGAAGGCAGTCGTTTAACCAACTGAGCCACCCAGGCGCCCTCCTTCTAATTTATTTATAAACTTTCAGTAACTGTTAAACATTTGGAAATAAGTCCACAGGTTTTCTTCATATTTTAAACAAGCTTATCAGTAAGTCATTAAAATCACAGTATCAATTTCATATTAGCAAATTACAGATACACATAAGAAAATGAACACACTCTAAAGAGATTTCTTAGAAACCTTTTTAAACCAAGTAGTAGTATTTCCCAAGGCTGTTTATGAAACAGAATCTATACACTTTAAAAAAAAAAAAAATATACAGTCTTTAGATCTGACTTTAGCATTAGATCCCTATCTCTGTAATTTAGCTGTGCAATCAAGTTTAGGAAACTCTGAATAAAGGATTTGCAAAAATAAACCCAATAAACAAATCCCTACTAACTTCTTGCAATTTTCCAGACTGCTATGTTCGTTTCACTGAAGATTTCAAACTATACTCCTGAATGCTGAGACTAAAAACCCTCTAAAGCATCCCAAACAACATTTACCCCAAAAAAAGCTTCTCACAAGGGAAAGAGCTGAACCACTAAGCAGGCCAGGTCCCTGAAACAGAGCTATAATCTCTCTCTAAACGATTTTAACAAAAATACCTATTATTAAATTATAAGCATGTACTATTTAGTATGCTTGTTTTAATTAAAGCTTTTTAAAAAAACAACTCAAGTCAATTATATGCTCAACAGCTTTGATTGCAGCTGCAGTACTACTCAGACACACAGTTAAATAACAGTGGTCTGTGAAGTGCAATCCATATGCTCTAATGAATAGATCTTCACAGGCTAAAACTCAGCAGCAAGAAAAATGTATATACCTGATGGTGCACTGGATCCTGCTGTATTGTCATCATTCGAGGTTGAAACTGATCCATATTTTGATGTTGCGTATATGCTGGCTGCTGCATGCCATCTCCAGGAAACCCACTAAAAAAATACGAACAATCTTCATTTTATCCATTCAAAAACACACACGATTCTAAGCCACATTTATACTATAGAAACATTAAGAATGTTGTTCAGGAGTCATTAATAATTAATATCTTACTGAATCATGTACTTGCCTAAATTAATTTATACACTCAGCATTATTCCCAACATAAAAGCCATTTTTAACTATAAATCTGATAGGATCCCCTCCCCATTCAAAAGAAAACCCAAAACATCCTAATTTTAAAAAACAATGACTACATGAAAAGTGATTTTGTTACTAAAGTTATAGTTGACCCTCGAACAACATGGGTTTCAACTGTGTGAGTCCACTTACACAGTTTTTTGGCTATGGTATAGTACTATAAACATATTTTCTCTTCCTTATGATTTTCTTAACATTGTTTTTTCTCTAGCTTATTTCATCCGAAGAACATAGCATGTAATATATATAACATACAAACCATGTGTACAGGTTTGGCTTCTGGTGAACAGTAGGCTATATAAAAGTTTTGGGGGAGGCAAGTTATAACGCATTTTGGGCTCTGGGCAGGTGGACACCCCTACCTAATCATCACGCTATGCCAAGGATCAAATGTACTTGTCTCATGCCTTATAATGATGCCCAACTCTATACCCACTGAGTGCGGTAAAGAAACTTACAAGGGTGCCTGTGGAGGGGAAGCGGTGGGTGCAGTGGCGGGCGCAGTGGCGGAGGTGGGCGCTGGAGGCGCAACAGCCACAGCAGGGGTGGTGGTGGTGGTGGCGGCGGCGGCGGCGGCGGCGGCGGCAGCAGCAGCAGCAGCAGCAGCGGCGGCGTCTTCCTTCTTTGCTTCTTCCACAGCTTCTGGCTCATCATCATAATCAAATCTATCAAGGAGCTTCTGGAATAGGTATGTCAATATTCCATTTTAAAACTGGGATTGGGATACACTACACAAAAGACTTGGTAAAAACAACAGAGGTTTCCTATCATCTACGATGCCAGTGCCGTCGTCACGTACCTACTGTCTCACGTTCCCACCTGCCCCTTAGGACCCTGGTTCACAGACAAACCACTGCCACACAAATGCCGTCTGAAAAAGAATTTTTGGGGCGCCTGGGTGGCTCAGTCGTTAAGCGTCTGCCTTCAGCTCAGGTCATGATCCCGGGGTCTTTTTTGGACATTTTTACTCTGCTTTTCTTCAATTATAAATGCAGTGTTTTGTATTTCCTATATGCTTATTTTAAAGTTAATTTAGCAATATAAATATTAAAATACTCACACACTCATAACTTTTAGAACTTTGCACACATGAAAATGGGTGTACATTTTCAGTTAATTGTAAAATGTACCAAGACTGCCTTATCCAATCACTATCAAGGCCTAAAGAAAAATGTCCATATGCTGCTTGCTCAAAAACATACTAATATGACCAAGAAAAAAGAGAATGGTATAGGCAGGCCCAGAAAGAACTTACTACCTGGGCACTAACTTCTTCCTTAAAACTTCACAGCTCATGTCAGATTACCAGAAACATGGAAGGAAGGGAGGGAGGGAGGGTGGGAGGGAGCTCAACACTTCACAAAATCACATGCCTAGAAGAGCCATTTAAAAATAAGATGACATTTGTTCAGAAAGGAAGGGGGGGCGCCTGGGTGGCTCTGTCCTTTAAGCGTCTACCTTCAGCTTGGGTCGTGGTCCCGGAGTCCTGGGATCGAGCCCTGCATCGGGCTCCCTGCTCCGCGGGGGACCTGCTTCTCCCTCTCCCACCGCCCCCCCCTTGTGTTCCCTCTCTGGCTGTCTCTCTCTGTCAAATAAATAAAATCTTAAAAAAAAAAAAAAAAGGAAGGAAGGTAACACAACACCTACTACTTCTATTACTATCTACTGTGTTTAAATATTGGCGGCCCAGGTGATTAAGAAACATTACTAAGACTGCACAGCCAGCAAATGGTAGAAACGGGATGTGGACACTGTTCTTTTCGACTTCAAATCTCTCAGTCTCTGACATTAAACAAGCAGTCTTTTCCCTCAACCTGTGCCCATTCTGGTCATGGATTTTCAACTTCAAATTCCTAAACTTGTGTTGTTCTGTGGTAATTCTGCCTAGAAATTATGGTTCTACTTTACTGGACAAGAGATCTCTAAATTAAGAAGGGAAGTCCCCTTCTTGGACAACACAGCTTCTTTGTAATCCTAGGCCATGTCATTAAAAGTTCTTATAGTAACTGAGCCATCTAATTATGACCCAGACACCTTGTTGCCTTAACACATGTTAGTGTATCTAACCCTCACAGCAACAGTAAAGTCTAGGCACTGCCATCACTATTTTACAATGCTGCACACTGAGTATTTAAGCGACTCAGCATCAAGACAGAGTCAGTGATAGGAGTCAAAATTAAAACTCAGGTCTAAATTGTCTACAAAAAACAAAACTTCTGCCTTTGCTGTTTTTCACGTGTAGGTATGTTCTTTAAAGTTTTAAGATTTATACCTATTGCTTTGGAAAATGATTTGAGGAAATTAAAAAATTAAACTGAGATCCAAAAAGACATTTTTGTTGCTTTTTAGGAAACTGAAGATCTATGAAGCAGCTTGAATGAACTGTTCCCAGTCAAGCTGTTCTACTAGCTTAAAACAGACTTTTAGTCAAAGGAAAAAGCACAGAATTTTTTTTTCTAAACTTCATGTAACTGACATGACCAACCAACTCACTTGAGGTAAAACACTAGAGGAATTACAATTCAAATTAACAACAAAAAAGGATTCCATTAGCATTACTGTTATTCAACATTTCTTGAAGTCCTAGCCACCAATACAGTAAGAAAAAGAAACAGGCAGACATTGAAGAGGAAAAGTCAAATTTAATAGCTATCCAGAAATCTGAAAGAACTGTTTGGTATCATAATCATTTAAAAGATAAAAGAAGCAAACAGGAAAAATGACTAAATATCTTAGGAATAAATGATGTAATAAATGTATGAGACTTGTATAAAAAGGGATTTTAATAGAGATTCTGTGTAAAGCTCTTGGTACTTCTTAAATTAACCTAGAAATTCTAAAATTTATGTTAAAGTTCATCTTGAAAAGTATGCTGTGATGTTTAATTGTATCAATTTGGCTAGGTTACAGTGCCCAGTTGTTTGGTCAAATATTGATCTACATGTTCCTGTGAAGGTCTTTTAAAAATGTGATTAACATTTATATTAATAGAATTTGAATAAAGAAATATCCTCCATAATATGGGTGGAGCCTCAACCACTTAGCCAAGGCCGTAAGGGTAAGAACTTAAGGTTTCCTGTAGAAGGACTTCTCAAGACAGCAACATAGGAACCTTACCCTGTAGAATTCAGACTCAGAACTGCAACATTAACTCTTACCTAAATTTCCAGCCTGCCTTCTGCCCTACAAATTTCAAATCTGCCAGCCTCCACAACTGTGTCAAACAATTCCTTAAAAATCAACCAATCTCTCCTTCTCCCATTTCCCTCTGTGCGTGCGTGCGTGTGTGTGTGTGTGTGTGTGTGTGTGTGTGTGTAATACTTGGAAATGAAATACAGAATATAGTACATAAGCTGCATTTAAATTGTCATGATGCAGAAATAATTATATTAGTGGGGCACAAGAGTCCAAATGTCCACAAATAGACACAGAAACAAATGAGAATTCAGAATTCAATGTATGACAAAAATAGTGAGTGAGAATTGGTTATTTCCAAAAAGTTCAAGATTCAACTCTCTTGAACCATATTCTAAAACAGGCTCCAGATGGAAGAGACAAACATAAAAGTATAAAACTACCAAAAGAAAATATAAAATTAAAAAAATACATACGTGGGGAGAGTTTCCCTAAACTCTGAAAGAACATACACAAATCTGTTCCAAGCAGATAACTGCTTCCCTTTTTACTTTAGAACTTCCTGTATTGTGTTTTTGTCCCCTAATGATAACTAGTATTTACCAAATGGATTCTTAATGTGGACTACCAGCAATAAAATTGTATCTTAAAATTAAAATCTGGAAAGAATAAAACATTTTAGAGATGACTAAGCTAAAATATTTCACTTAGTTCTAGGGTTTTCAAACTTGTATTTTTGGCAGTGAAACAAAAAATGAAATTTTATATAGTAATAAACCCAATGAACAGACAAGATATAAAACAGCTGAGACAGAGTCGTCTGGGTTAACATTTCTACAGGAAGCTCTGAGCTCTGCAAATCCAGCACATCTATATCCTTAGTTGCAGCTCCTTAAACATGCCTACAACAGAGCAGTTGGAAGATACTGAACCGACAAAACCCTCAAGTTATACATATGGTAACTAAGTTCTAAGAGCAAAAAGCAAAAGGTAACTTAAATGTCTGTCAAGAGGGGAACGGTTAAACTGTGATGTGTACACATAATGGAATACTCCTCATAATAAGCTCTCAGTAAAAATGTAGATCTAGGGGCGCCTGGGTGGCTCAGTTGTTAAGCGTCTGCCTTCGGCTCAGGTCATGATCCCAGGGTCCTGGGATCGAGCCCCACATCGGGCTCCCTGCTCAGCAGGAGGCCGACTTCTCCCTCTCCCACTCCCCCTGCTTGTGTTCCCTCTCTTGCTGTGTCTCTGTCAAATAAATAAATAAATAAATCTTAAAAAAAAAAATCTAAATCTATTAACCTTAACAATGACAACAGACAAGAGGATTAGGATCAAAATAAGTTAAAAACTGTGTATATATATTTATATATTATGCATAAAACATGCATATATTATATATTACAATATACATACATATGACCAAATAAAAAATATATCCATAGGAAATTAGTTCAGAAGAGATATACAGCAAAAATTTACAGTAGCTATCTCCTAGTATGGGGGTTAATGGTAAAAGTTCTCCTGTTTACTTTTCTACTTCCTATTTACTGAAAATTTCTGCAATGAGTATATATTACACACTTATACCCAGGAAAAATAATCAGTGTTTTGTTGTCAATGGGGAAAATCCCTTAAACCAAAAAACAACAAAATGAACAATCCAGAGAATAAGTAGAGGAGGAGTAACTTCCATATCCTAAATTGAGTGGTATAGACAGTTAAGGTGGGTTATATAAGAGAAGCTAGCCTACCTTGTCAAATGCAGTTTTTTGCTCAGGCTGGGGGAAAGCAGCTTTTTGTTCAGGTGGCTGTGCAGGAGCTGTCTTTAACTGAGCTGTGATAGCCTGGACCTGAGCCATCACAGCATTGTCAATGGCCGGAGACTGTGGTTTTGGAGGCTGTTGAAAAGTCTGAAGGATCTGCTGAAGCTTAAAGAATGGGAAAACTGATAAACCACATAACAAAGTACAATCATAGTATCAAAGGTTGATTTACTGAAAACACAAAAAACTTAAAGGTGACTCAAAATAGCACAGGCACAAAGTAAACTGGAAAAAGAATACACCTTTTGGCAAAGGTTAAGTCTGTTGTAAATACCAGGGATACAATGTGTGTCATTTAAGGTTAAACATGTATGCTGATACCCCAACGGGCAGCAAATGACACTAAGAGAAAATACACTGAACTGTGAACAAGGTAAGGAAATGTTTTCTAGAAAAATGTAAAAATCATCTCCAATACAAATAATTTTGAAGTTAATCCGAAATGCTAGAATCATGAGCAACAATACCAACCGGTCACCAGTTCTGAAGTCCTTGTCACAGTGGTATTGCTATTGCTCAGTGTATGGCTCCCTTATTTCTCACCTTTCCCACATTTCCCCTGTGATCCCTATGCCATTACCTGTCCAGTAAAGGCTTTTCTAGGTGAAAAGTAGAAATATTTCCTCCCTTGAATGTGCTCATTCATTAGGAATGGAAAATAAAAACTGACAATAGTACCTAACTGCAAGGAATTTAATCTTGAGATAGGTAGTTTACCTGTTGACCTTGAGTTGTCTGAAACAGTTGGGCCACAGCAGCAAAAGCATCAGAGCTAGGCAACTGTGGTACAGTTGGTACAGAGTTTGTAGTGGCTTGGGGTGGTTCAGAAGAAACTTTAACTGGAGGTGGAGGTGAACCTAAAAAAGAAAAGGTTATTAAGACCTATGAAAACTTTAATCTTCATGTTTCCCTTTTTAAACTCCATTAAGCTTTTTTACTAAAATAAAGATCATGGTACTAGACTCTGTACTATAGCAAATACATGAAAGAGCTGTGGAAAGAAAACCATACCTTCCAAGATGTAAATTCAAATGTCTTTCTTATGGAAAAGTTCCACTAATATAAACAGACTCCAAACTTCTCATGTACAAAAGTTATACCATTTTCTAAGTTCACCGATATACTTGGCCATACCTTCATTATTAGTAACATTTTCTGCTACCGGGGCGGCATTACTGGTTCCTGCAGCCATATCCAAAAGAGGTTGAATAATTTCAATTTTGAATACTCCATTTTTTTGCCAAAGGTTCAGCACACGAACTATTTTACTCTGTTATGTGTAACAAAACATGAATATACAATAAATATTTGCATAAAGAAATAAATCTCTAAGCATTTTATAAACAGAAAAAAATTTATCTTTAGAATTATGACCTGGTTAAAACTACCCTAATCAGCCTTTCTTCAGTAGTACAAACTAGAATAAAAAACAAAGATGGGGGAGGAAAGGGGGAAGAAACAAAAAAGAAATATAACCTAGATAATCAAAACAAATATAACAAAAAATGTATTTCACCTTTTCATTATATTTATTTATGATCACAAAGAAATACCATCACTGACAAAAAAAGTAATCATCTTAGAAAAGTAAATGAAGTGAAGAATTTCTTCAGGATGATATTAACGTTAAAATATTTAAGAAACTGGTCTGTAACTGATAGGTAAGTTGTTTTATGGCCCAGTAAATATGATGGAGATCCAGAGATGTGTTATTCATAAGAAAAATAACTCTTATGTCCTACTCAAAAAATGATCTTTTCTCGTTTATTTTTCCCACAAGAACACTCCTCCAAGAACATAAAGAAAGAATCCACAACACTCAAATTTATATACTGTTTACTGTCAAGAATATCTTCATTCTTCATTCTTCTGAGTAGATTTAGTAGTATATTTCTCCCACCTGCTGGGAGTCCAGTTATTATGTCTGTAATGTTCTTCTACCTTTTTATAGTATAGTAAAATCAGCTGGAAGTATAAGGAATTAAATACTGTAGTCTGATTGCTAATGAATACCATTTATACTCCAGCCTCTTAAATCTGGGGAAAGCCATCAATTATTGGTCCCTTCTTTCTGGAATAAGCAACAATATGAGATGAGTACTGCCTTTTTCTATGGCAGAATTTATCACTCAACTACAAGTAAATCTTTCCAACTCCTTTTTCAACAGTACAACATTCCAGAAGAAATTTCACAAGAAAATATATAAACATGAGATGGCCACAAGAGAAAACACTGGGTTTTGTTTCAAGTTCACAGAGATCCCCATATAATTCTTTCAAATATATAATATATATTTAAATAGATTTAAATATAGAAATAAGAATACAAGTTTTAATTTAAAAATTATTAACTATACCTTATCTTCAGATGGACAAAGATATAAATATTGGAATGTGGCGGTTATGTTTTTAGAGAATCTTGGCCCAAAAACATCTTTATCGGTTCCAAACTGATGACGAGACTGTCGCACAATTGAGTCAATTACATATAATCCTGGAACCTTGTACTCTGGTTTACACTACAAAGATAAAGATACAAAGTTAATAGAAGAAAAGCAAAATCACAATTTGACATTAATCTCCCTTTTATAAAACTGTATTATCCAGTGATTGTTTCTATTTGGAAACCGCTTGAATGTTTAGCTCTCTTATTGGCTAGCATGTCAAATTTCCCACAGGCCTGTACAGAACTACCAATTCTCTTGATACTTCAGACCCCCAATATTTTACTTTCCTCTGATCCCTCTACCTCCCCACAATTTCCCAGAATCAACATTACTTTACCAGTCCCTAAGCCACTTCCACACTAATCCACTTATTTATGATACTCTCTACTCCAATTCATCCTACTTAAAAAAATAATTTCTACCTTTTAAAGTCATCAAAAAGATAATTTTAACATCAATTTTAATTCTACTAAAGTAGAGTATCAGAGAAAAGAAAAACTAAGGAGAGATCACATTTTTGGCCTATCAGATTAACAAGAAGAGAAACAGACACATATATATTTCTGGTGGTACAACCTTTGTGGATGATGATTTAGCAATAAAAGCAAAGCCTTATTTGATCCAACAATTATACATCTAGAAATTTATCGTAAGGAAAACCATTAAGATTCATCTAATTTTTTCCTTAAGGCCAGCCACTGAAGTGAAATGTCCAAAAGGAACTAGCTGAGTAAATGTGGAAACAAGCAATGGAATACTTTTTTGCAGACATTTTATGATAAATTCAGTGGGAAAAGCAGGTTATCAGTCACCAGTTTCTCTTTTATGAATGTACATGTACATAATAAAAAACATAATAAAAAATGAATAGATCCAAATATAAATATCATAGTAATTTGGGGTGATGGCATGTAGGTAATTTTAATTTTTTCCCATTTTACTTATTTGTACTTTGATTTGCTACTATAAAAACTTCTACTGACCTTTTTTTGGTCTGTTGGGATTCTAACTCCTATCTCTCATCTAGTATTCAAAGGCCATGGATCAAAGACATTCACACACATTTACTGGTATGTACTACAAGGCACAGCTCCAGGTTGGGGGAGAAGATAGAGATGTCTAAGTCTCTGTTCTCAGTCCTCTGGTGAGACAGATGTGTGCTAATCACATGGTTATAAAACCAGATACAACTGTAAAACTGAAAGATGATTTAATTATGATAGGAGCAGGGAAAATCCGGAATAACTTCACAAAGTGATTTCACTTAAAATACTTCAAGATGAGTTAAATGTCAACAAAGTAGACAGGGCAAATGGCACAGGAGGGACATCAAACTCAGGCGAGAGTCGTGTTGAGTACACCGGAAACTTGTTGAGTGCCTACCTCATACTAAGCACTCAATCAACAGTATTGCTATAGATTTTTATTTTGTTAAAAAAAACAAACTCAAGAGATTAACAAGAACACCTAGTGACAACTTTTTTTGTAGAGTAGCTTTAGAAGCAAGCATCCAACTTACAATTTACAAAGTAAATTACAAGTACTAATCATAACTAAAATGATATAATAATGAAATGGACAGTTACCTTTTTGATGAACTTTTCTACTATTTGAACTACATGCTTATAAAGCTGAAAAGAATTAAAAGAAAATTAATGTCGTTTACTTATTTCTACATATTCAGTAATGTAATTAGAAAATACTTAAAACCTTAAAATTGCACAATCTGAATTCTCAAAATAATACTGAATGAACCATGACAAATAATCCCTAGTCAACAAGTGAACAATCATAAATCAGAAGCGAATTAACTAAAACAGAAACTACAAAAATCCCCCCAAAAGAAGGTCCTTCTCTTAGATTTTTAATCAATAAACGTTAATAAAGTAGTGTATTCAGGCAACTTTATGAGACTGATAAGAACAGTGGAACTGGAACTAAATAATGCAGTTTCTAAAGCGAGTCAGCTATTTAGGTGTGATCTTGAAAACATTTCACTTCGTGAAGTCTGAGTTTGTTTTTTTCCCTTCTTTTTAATAAAAGTATGAAGCTAATACTCAGCTGACTTACGAAAAGAATTAACTAAAACAGTGTGCCTGAGTGGCTCAGTTAAGCGTCTGCCTTTGGCTTGGGTCCTGATCCCAGGGTCCTAGGATCGAGTCCCACGTCAGGCTCCCCACTCAGCAGAGTCTGCTTCTCCCTCTCCCTTATGCCCCTCCTCCTGCTCGTGCTCTCTAGGTCTCTCTCCCTCTCTCTCAAATAAAAAAAAAAAAAAAAACTATAACAAAGAAAAAACCCCTTTTATTCAACTCTCTACTTCTATTAATTCAACACACACACACAAATTGGCAACTATGTGAGGCAAAAGGTGTGCTAATTAATTAGCTTGACTGTGTTAATCATTTCATAATGTGTATGTTTATCAAGCCATCTTGTTCTATTATATTTTTAAATACATTCAATTTTATTTGTCAATTATACCTCAACAAAGCTGGAAAAAATATAAAGTGGAGATACTAAACAACAACAAAAAAGGAAAAAAGCAGGTTTTGAAATTATATGTTACAGTTCAAATATACTATACTGTATTAACATGTATCTTCAGCAAAAGTTAGTGCTCTTTAAATCAGGCCTAAACTAATAGGACGAATTCTCAATATTTTCAAAATCTCAAAAACATTTTTTGAATTAAATATATTCATTTTATTCTTACCTTAATAGCTTTAATGGCAGCTTTAGTGATAAGAATCATCTTGGCTCGAGAGATGGGAGGTTTCATATCCATAAGTGAAAAGAGCTTAAAAAACAAAAATAATTAAAAAAAATTAAGTTAGAGGTCAATTCCCCCCAGTTCTACAAAGATAGTACAATTTATTAACTAAAAGAATAACAAACTTTTGGAACTAAGTTGAACAATTCAGCTAATAAAGAAAATCCAAGCACTTTCCTATATACCTGCATCACTACCAAGAAAACACAATAGGAAAAGATATTAAAAACAGCAAAAAAGAAAAAAAACAAAAAACATTAAGAAATTTACAAAACCTGTAACTGAAAAAAATGTAAAATTTTACTAAAGAACTCAAAAATAATTTGAATGCAAACATACCAGGGGTTTCTGGACTGAAAGTAGCAATTGTATGACTCAATATTTAATGCAAACCTCACTGAGATTTTGGAGATCTTCAAATAATTTAAGGGTCGTTTGGAGAAAGATGTATTACATTAGGCAAGAAATTTAAAATGCTGGCATTCACAACTTCTTGATTTAGTCAGGCATAAAAATGGCACCATATTTAACAAATCTCATGACAGTCAATCCAACAATCAGGTGCTGCCCATGAGATTTAACCACACATGCATACTTCTTCCAAAGTTTAAATCCAACCAAGACGTAATGAAAGCCCCTAAGAGTTACAAGGATAAAATCCTGACATTAAGAAACTTCTATCTAGCTTCTTAAATTCTTCTTTTTTTTGTTTTGGTTAAAAAAAATAAGATTTATCTGAGAGAAAGCACTCCTGTGCTCACAGGGTTGGGGGGGGCCGAGGGAGACCAGCAGACTCCTGGCTGAGCGGGAAGCCCATGTGGGGGCTCCGTCCCAGGACCCTGAGATCATGACCTGGGCCTAAACCAAGAGTCAGAAACTCAACCAACTGAGCCCCCAGGTGCCCGTTTGCATTTTGTTTAATCATGGGCACATACTCACCCTAGGACTTCTAAAAAGATAATTTGTGCGGTTTTTTTTTTTAAGTAGGCTCCACCCCCAACGTGGAGCCCAATGCAATGTGGCTTGAACTCACCACCCTGAGATCCAGACCTAGCTGAGATCAAGAGTCGGATGCTTAACCAACTGTGCCACCCGCACCCCTAAAAAGATATTGTGAAATAATTAAAGTTTCGGGGCTTTATATCAATATTTCCATTTCTTTCCAAATAATGTTGATACTCCAAATATGAAATCTCTAAGACACAGATCTTTACTAGATCACTAAGAAGTTAACCTGAGTACAAAAGTCTCTTTTCATAGGGTAAACTGCCCTATCTGGCAACATATCCTAAAAATTCAGAGAATTTTCACAGCTTTTCACACAACTACAGACACAATGGGACTATAGATAACAGTAACATTAATATTAGAAAAGGCATGGAATGCCAGAGATAATCAATACAAGAACCAGATACTCTGGTTTAAGCAGAGAAAGGTAGAATTCTTCCATAGGTAATATTAAGATTAAAAAAAAAAGGGAGAAACACAGATATTAACAAAGGAATTTGTTTTTTAAAAATGTGATTCTCTAAAGAGGATCATTATTCTTTATTATGTCTTTACCAATGTAATAAAAATTATCGAGAATGCTCATTAACAGAAAACAATTGGAAAGGAGACAGTAATCTGAGATTATATAAACCGATGGGAAATGAAAAACCAATTTAAAATATTACAACTTAAATACAAATTCTAAAAATGTAAACACTGCATGAAATATATAGCATGCATTTATAAAGGACATATTACCATTTATAAGTTATAAAATTTATTAAGACAACTGTTTATTATTTGTTCTATTTCCTTCTCTGTACCTTAATGTAGAGAAAGGGGATGCAAAAAAGTTTATACATGATCTTTAAGAATGAACAACAGTGAAAACTATATCCCTGGTCATTAAAAGCTTAGAGAATCATATTTTCATGAAGCCTAAGCAAAAACTATTCATTTAATGTGTCAAATAGCACTTCTTGATTACTTCAGCAGTAAGCAACCTGCCATATTAAAAAAACCTCAGCCAACTGAGCACACAAAACAGACCAATGTATCATTGGATAAAATACTCCACAGTCTATATTGAAATCACAACTTGTTAAAAAAATTAAAATACAGCCTATATCATACAGCAGTATAACCATTCATGTAAAATACCAGCAAGAGAACCCTCAAGTGCTATTATCTAACAGACAGTAAAAAGGGTATTAAACATTTCATAAAAAAAGGATCACTTGGGAAGAGAGGAGGGAAACAACATCTGAGTGCCTACGATGTATAAGGAAGAATTAAATTTAGTGGTATATAATTTTATTTAATCATATTAACAACTGGAGGGAGGTGGGTGGGGGATGGGCTAAATGGGTGATGGGTATTAAAGAGGGCACTTTTTGTGATGAGCACTAGGTGTTACATGAAGTGTGGAATTACTAAATTCTACACCTGAAACCCATTTTACCGTATGTGTTAACTAGAATTTAAATAAAAACATGGGAGAGAAAAAAAAGTCATACTAACAACTAACAGATTCTCTTCCACCTGTTTGAGATGATACTCAAAAGGGTTACTTACATCTGTTTTGGATGATGCCCAGGGAATGGGTTCGAAATTATAATTTGAAGATTTTATAGCTCACAATTCTTTTTTTTAAAGATTTTATTTATTTATTTGACAGAGTGAGCACAAGCAGGGGCACTGGCAGGCAGAGGGAGAGGGAGAAGCAGGCTCCCTGTGGATGAGGGAGCCTGACATGGGGCTCGATTCCAGGACCCTGGGACCTGAGGCAGTCGCTTAACCAACTGAGCCACCCAGGCGCCCCTATAGCTCACAATTCCTAATAGCACATTCATATCCTTAATGCAATGCTGCTTATGGATTAAATACATATAAGAACCATTAACTATGATGGGGAATACAGACAAAATACCAAGCAGGCGTCTCTGCCACATATATGTATATACACATATATACATATAGAGAGAGTATTGACTCAGGGATAATGACTAAACATACTGAATTTAATTTGGGATGCCTACTGAAATTCAGGCAGACAAGAGAATATGGATCTTGAACACAGAAAAGGTCCAGGCTAGAAAAAAGAGTCAAAGCCATGAGTATGTGTGAGAAGAAATTTGTAATAAGAAGCAAGCCAAGAACATATAACCTAGGGTATATAAAAAATGCCACTGGGGTATAGAGAAAGGGGTTGCACAAATGAATAATACCAGGACAAATACCAGAAATTAAAGGCATTTGGCATGGTCAAATGTGGTAAGAGGCGCAAACCAAACCTTGTTTGGTTTGACTATTAGGTGGCTGAACAGATACCAGTTTTTTAAAGTGATTTCAAAGTCCAACTGGTAAAGAAGTGGCAAGTGAGGAGGTAGAAATGCAGTTTTGGATCATTTTTCATTCATTTAACAAATTTCTGAGCGCTTAGGAAGTGTTAAGCTCAGTGACTGGTACATAGAGGAGGCAGAGCCGTGTTTCAGTGCTTTAGACATGACCACCCTTAAAACACCTCTAACTTGCAAGCACTGCGATGTTTCTATCACATTTGTTTCTTTTTAGATGTTCTTTGCTTTCCTTTACAAATGCCTTTCTCAAATCTTAAAGGTGAAAATCTGTATTTGATATAACTTATAAAGAAAAACATTATAGGCAGATAGAGAAGTTTCAAATCTGGAGGTTTAAAAAATTACCTTTTAAAAGCTCAATGAATGTTACTGATATTTTATTGACTTCTTCAAAATACAAATTCATCAGTCTCTACCTTTTGCAAGGCAAAAAGGTTCTCCCAGATACCTAGATCAATACCTTCATTGGATACAGAGACCCATTATGTTGAAATTGATATACCTTACTGTAATTATGTGCACTGACACTACCTGTTTAAATAGAAACACTAATAGCCTTTGTGATAGTTAGATATTATAATTCCATTTTACAGATGAAAACACTGAGGCATAAAAGTTTAAGAATCTGCTCAAAATCATAAAGCTGATTAGGTGGTAAATTTAATCTGTGGTCCACCACTACCCAAAGCTCAAGTTCTTTCCAATAACTACCTAACAATAAAGAAATTATTTCATTAATACTATAATACATTATCCTGGAGGAATGAATAGCACACAGACATTAAAGACGATAGACTATAAAAAAAGTTTTATATATACACATATATGTATGCATACAGACCCAAATAAGCAAGTATACCAATATGCAACTGTTATGGAAGGACTGAACCCAAAGATCTTTTAATAACAAAAAATAAGTGACATAGAGGTAAAGTGCTATGTCCAGCCAAGCAGTAAGTTAGAGGTAATGTACTAAGTCCTTAACCAGATCTAGAGCAAAGCTGAAATTTAATAAGCTTAGATAAGAAAGAGTTAATTGACATGTTGGCTGAGGAATCTCTCAGAAGTATACAACCTTGTGGTGCTCTAAGACTCAGATTATAGTTCCTGAACTTTTAAAAACAATAAATTTCTGTTAAAGTAATGATAAGAACACAAGATCAATAATCAACTGTCTGGGAAATCCTGACTCCCCCACTGCTAGCTCTGAGAAGTTGTTTCTTCATCTGTAAAATGAAAATAATAGCCCCTACTTATATTAAGGGAAGTTTAATACAAACACATATAAAAAGCACTTAATGCAACACCTAGCACAGAGTAAGTACACAATAGACATTACCTATTATTACCACCACACATAATTTCGTTGAAAGGAGAAAGAATTCTGGAAATAATTCAGATAAGTGTTTTTCAAACTGTGGGCTGAGATACATTAGAATATAAAAATGAGCTTAACGGGTGTGACAGAACTTTTTTAGTGGAATAGAGTAAAAAAATAAAATAAACAGCATTGTACACAGCAAGGGTAAGTACTGTTTGGTGAAGTTTCTCTGTTTTGTGTGGGGGTATGTATGCAAAAACACCTACGTAAAATTATAAATCTTACTGTAGGGGTGACAGTCAAAGGCGCTGACTCAGAGAAAAATTCTTTTGTTTTAGAAATGAGGGAAATAAAGC